CTTCTCCAAAGACCTCACAATATCCACTCGTGGAGTTCAGCCTCCCACGATAGTTCAATTTGGCGCAAACAGCCCTCTCGAGCTCGCCCGCTCATCATCTCTTGCCGCCCCTTTTGTCAACGGTGTCGATCTCAACTGTGGGTGCCCACAGTCATGGGCTTGCGCAGAGACCCTTGGTGCCGCTCTTATGGAGCAGCGCGAAATTGTGAGAGATATGGTCATTGAGACTCGTCAACGTTTAGCTAGTGACGGCTGGCATGTTGGCAAGGAGCGGGATATCGACAGTCCAAAGGGGAGGAGCGTCAGCGTCAAGATCCGTGTGCATAAGGACTTGAGGTGAGTGCACCTTGTCCCTGAGCTTCTCGCTCACATCCCCTCGGGCACCGTCCTCTGCTGACTCTCATGCTTCACTGACTAGGAAGACGATGGACTTCATCGACACCGTCATTGGCAACCCCCTGAACCGTAATATCGACTTCCTGACGATCCACCCCCGCACACGTCACACGGCATCCACCACCCCTATTAACACCGAATCTCTTGGCATTCTCCTTGAGAAATACGGCGACACGCTCCCAATCCTTCTATCTGGCGATGTCTTCTCCATGGCAACGCTACCCCTCTCGACGGTATCCAAAGCACCAGAAGAACCTTTGGAACCGACACTGATCAACAGCCACAATGGCTATACGGACTTCACCCCCAGTGGCACCAAGTTAGCAGGTCTTATGTCTGCGCGGGGTATCCTCGCAAACCCTGCTCTTTACGCTGGGTTCGAGTCTTGTCCGTGGGAGGCTGTCGAATGCTTCATGCGCCACGTCGTTCGCGCCCCGATGCCAGTGAAGCTCGTTCAGCATCACCTTCACGAGATGTGCGGACCAGGTATGGGACCGGATAAGCGTGCTTTGCTGAATCGGCAGGAGAGGGCAGCATTGCTCGCTCTCGACAACATGGTGGACGTGATAGACTTCTTGGATGATGCGATCAATCGCAAGACAGGCAGGACGGAAGGACTTCATCGAGAGCCGAGACGTAGCTCAACAATTCCTATACCATAAACTAACACCCTCTCAATCTGCAGCAATGTTTTTGACTTTAGGATGAATTCGCTATGAATTGTAATCACTGCCAAAGGTATTCCCTACCTTTGCAAAGCATCGCTTGCGCCATGACCTCTGCCAAACTGCCACCCTTGGAACGCCGTGTCTCTGTAGAGTGTGCTGTGACTCTTGCGCAAACCAAGATGCTTGCGCTTGAAGCCGCCTTAAGTAAGTGACCACTATGGTACATAAGCGTCGTCTTGCGCCTGTCGACCCTTTGTCCGAATACCCGCCGTGAAATGCGATGGACCTCCAACGCCCGTGGTCCGTGGAATTATTACAATGTTACAGGCTAGAGCTCCTAGTCCAAAACCTCTCCTTCATCTTCATCGGACAGTCGTGCCCTCTTCTGTTCTCTGCCCTCAGAATCCGAGTCAACTTCTTTCCTCTTTCCTGGGGACGCCAGACTATTGCCATTCGCTTTTTCTGGCTCCTTAAGCGTGGCCTGCGAGCCAGACTCAGTATTAGTGACGTCGTCGCGGCCATTAGCCCTAGCTCTTGGGCTCTGCGTTCCTCTATCCAGCTCAAACGGCGTGCCTGCTGTAGACGAGAGAGCGTCCTGGCTCATCGGATCCCTCGGCTGTCTAGTATTGGCCAGGTCAAACGCAGGTGATGGCAGTGACGGATTCTGTTTACGGAGCGGGTTCTCAGTGTAAAACTGTCGGACAATGTCGATGGCCTTGGCACACTTGTCTTCGTTTCCCTTCAGTGCCCTCCACCACGGTTCGCCGTTGACGTCTTCGATCTTCTGCTGTGTGTGTATACTGGCAAAGAAGATGGCACTGATGGCAACGTCGCGTGCTTCGAGCAGTAGAGGGATGGAGGTAAGGCAGGCGTCGCTGCAGAACGCCCAGGCTGATTGCCTCAGATGCTTGTTATGAACAATATCGAGTTGCCCAAGAAGCTCGAAAAGACGCTGGTACGGGTTTTCCACCATGAGGTCAAATGTGAGGTATTCCAGCATCAACTCCTCGTACATGAGAATGCTGTCTCTCCACCGCCAGTACTCCTTGCTCATCTCATCTATCATTAGCTTCGGGTTCTTTTGGGCGACCTTTGCCACTGTGATGATAATTTCCTTCGTCTTCCGACAGTTTTCTTCTGTCTTATTCGCGAGAAAGAGCGCAGTGGCTGCAATGTTCTGTTCGACCGATTCCGTCAGCATTGGTTCAGCTTGAGCCTTTTGGGTCCCTCGTTTGGATCTGGGAAGTGCGGATCGTGCCTGACGCTTATAAGACATGACCACGAACGCATTTAGACAGGGGATTGAGCAGAGATATATCTCACGTAGTGGTGGATGCCGTTCTTCTCTTCAACCATACTGTATCGCATGTAGAACCGGTGGAAGAAGACACCTGCAACCCAAAGGGTGATTTGGGGCAGGTCGAGAAGAACTCCGGCCTGATATATGAAGTTGACACCCTTTGCGCGTCGTAGGCGCTCCTCTGCCGGTGAAATGCCATCTAGAATACTCGGTGTGCTCAAGGTCTCGTCGGGGGTGAAGTACCACTGATTGGGCGGAGGTCCTGGTGTTTGCGCCCTTGACCGCTGTGGCGAACGCGTGTCTCGCTGAGAATGGGGGCGCGGGGGCGAGGTCCGCGATGAATGTGTCGGGGGAGATGGAACTGCAGGCGGCACATCAAGACGACGCCCGGGAGATCTGGATTGCCGGTCTGGTCGTGGAGGACCCGGGGGGAGCGTGGGAGGCTGGTAGGCCTCTCTCGAAGGCCGATAGCGATCAATACTAGCCATCGCCGCGAAGTTATTGTGATACTTTCAAGTCGGCGATTGGTAAGGGTTAATGCGAGAGACTGATCATGGGTGAAATGGCGCTCGCCGTCGCAAGTGGTAGTGTTGGATGATGGTGGAATCGCTTTCCTTGGTTCAGCTGAGGTGGATTTTCGACCCTGTTTGAGTCGCGTTATCTTATCAACAGAGCCACGTGATCACTTTAGACCCCTGCGAGTTCTGACCAGCAAGTGGATAACTACCTACATCGGATGGGAAAATCGAGGATAGATACCTAGGTATTCAGGTCAGGTAGATGGGGAGCTACTCGGTCTGACACTTTTGGAAAGAGAAAAAATTCAGGAAATTTATCGTATTTTGGAAAGTGCCCACGGGTTTGGTGGACAGGAAGCATGGAAATTACTTATACTAGGTACGTTATGGGCTATGGCTTGCGCTGGAAGCTATCGCCCTTCGAGGTAGGAAGGACCTTATGTAAGCTTGAGGTGCACACGGACCTTGGTGCTGAGATGTCTTCGTACCTGCAGCAGTTGTCCATTCCGAATCAGGCAACAAGGCATCAATCAGCTTGGTACGCACTTTCCCTGCTGAAGCTGGCCGTGACGCGAGCATGGAGCTGCCTGAGCTATTCCCCAAGTCAACGTCAAAGAACCCCATCCCCCATTCCAATCATCACCACGCCCATCACTTCCACGAACATCAACGAGAGCCCGCGCAGAAATAATTCTCTATCCTCATCACCCCTCATCGATCGAATAATTTCCACAATCTCCCCCGCCCGCTGACCGCCGAGATGGACAGCCTTGTGGCCAAGTACAGCCGCCCGGCGTTCGAGCAACACAACACCTTCAGAGACGATGAGCAGGAGGACCTTGAGCTCCTGGGCGGAGCGCCGCCGCTATCATTGAAGTTTGCTATGCCCCCGGTCGCACATGTGAGTTCAATTCCTTGAATAGTCTCCCGTTTGAACCTGAGATGCACCATCAGACTGACATGAGGAACCCCTCAATCCAGCCCTCCTCCTGGCTCCGCGCAGCAACAGACGACCGAGCCAACCCCGACTGCCCCATCAAGATTGCCCACGGCACAACGACCCTCGCCTTCCGTTTCCAAGGCGGTATTATCGTCGCCACCGACTCCCGTGCAACTGCCGGAAACTGGATTGCCTCGCAAACAGTCAAGAAGGTCATTGAGATCAACTCAGTGCTCCTGGGCACCATGGCCGGCGGTGCCGCTGACTGTCAGTACTGGCTTGCATGGTTGGGCATGCAGTGCCGCCTACACGAACTCCGCCACAAGCGCCGTATTTCCGTCGCCGCGGCGTCCAAGATTCTCGCCAACCTCGTCTACTCGTACAAGGGCATGGGCCTGAGCATGGGCACCATGTGTGCCGGCGTCACGAAGGAGGAGGGCCCCGCGCTGTACTACGTCGATTCGGACGGCACTCGCCTGCCTGGCAACCTCTTCTGTGTCGGTAGTGGTCAGACTTTCGCCTACGGTGTCCTGGACGCCGAGTACCGCTACGACTTGACCGACCAGGAAGCTCTCGACCTCGGTAGCCGAAGTATCCTTGCCGCTACGCACCGTGACGCCTACTCTGGTGGTTTCATCAACCTCTACCACGTCAAGGAGGAGGGCTGGGTCAAGCACGGCTTCAACGACACGAATCCCATCTTCTGGAAGACGAAGCTGGAGAAGGGCGAGTTCACCAACGTCACTGCCGACTTGGACTAGATGTCGGTGGAGAAGGACAGTGATTTGGTGCCGCTAAAGTCATACGTGTCGTGGAAATCCTTCCAGAATCCCGCTTTCAGCCGGTCTCCGGGCGAAAGCCCGAGACCGAATCCCGCTCCAGTGCCGCTTTTGCCGGGGCAGAGCGATATATCCCACCTATCACTATGACATGCAAGGAGACAAGAAGATATTACTTCCTCGCACACGAATGAATAAAACGGTTATGACAGGCAAATCGAGCGCAATCGCGGAATCGAGCATGGCTTGTTAGGTTGTCTCTTTCGACATCCGTACTCTCAAGGGAGAGTGCAGGTGTCGTGTAACTTGTACACTAGATTATGATACAAGTTCATTCTCACGCGTCTTCTACATTGTTGTTACAGGTGATGCTAAAAAAATAAAGGGTATCATAAGCTTTCAATGCTCTCTTCTTCTCCATCCAGGGACACCCAGGATCCCACCCTCTTCGCTGGACGGGTCAATCGACCACTTGCGCTCGGGATGTACGGAAAGCAAACTCTCCCAGCCAGCTTCGTACATCTCCATGCCAGTCCATGCAATCATGACCGCGTTGTCGGTACACAACGCCGGCGGGGGCGCCGTGATCTCCACATGCTCGAATCCGCGGACGTCGAGCATCTTCCGCAGCACGTGCATGAGGAAACGATTGCTCGCGACGCCGCCGCTTACGACGAGTGTTTTCAAGGCATCTTTCAGCTCCGGTTCGGCGGCATGAGCGAGGAAGATGCGAGTGGCCAGGTGCTCGAATAGGAGGCGCATGGTGGCACGGGCGAGGATCCGCCGTTCGTCGAGGGACATGGAGTCGCCTTTTGAGGTGGCGATTTTGCGGACCTCGCTGCCTAGGCCATTGAACTCGTAGGATAGCGCGCGGGAGGCGGAGAGGGGAGGGTGAAGGGTCCAGGAGTAGGGCGCGGGAGCGGCGTACGGTGCGATTTCGTCGACGCGGCGGAGGGGAGGGGTGTATTCGTAGTCGTAGTCGTAATCGTGCTGGCGTTTGGGATCTGGCGATGGTGTAGAGAAGGGGGGAAGGGAGTCGGGAAAGGCGAAGCGTTCGAGGAGGGCGCCGTACATGACGTCCCCGTGGGAGGCTAACATGTCCGGCGGGAGGATGTGCCTCGCGGCCTTGTCGAGGGCGTCGCCAACGGCGATGTTGGAGGAGGAGGCGAGGATGCGGTGGGACGCGAGGGAGTGGGAGTGGACGAGCTGGGTGTGGCCACCGGAGACTAGGAGGGTGAGGAAAGGGTATTCTGGTTTTATAGCAGCGGTGACGTCGGCTGTCGGAGAGGAGGAGGAGGTGGTGGTGGATGAGGACGCTGTAGAGGTAGTCGGATCCTGGCGGGCGAGCGCGGAGACGAGGCGAGGGGTGAGGGCGTGGGCTTGCATGTGGTTCACGGCCAGGAGGGGCACCTGCCAGGCTGTCGCGAGGCCTTTTGCCGTCGAGAGCCCGGAGGCGAGGTTCGCGGACATGCCGGGACCGCGGGTCACCGTCACGAAGTCGGGTTTCTGACGCAGAGTGCCAGCCACTGTGAGCGTGTTGTGGCGTGATGATCCTACTTCTTCTGCGTGAGTGCGACCTCCCCCTTTCCCTACTTTTTGTATTGAGTCGCCATCATCGTTGTTTTGGACTTCTCCGGCGGCGGCGGGCAGAGACGTGAGGGCTTCGGCGATGAGTGGCGCGAGCGAAGCGTCGTGGGAGCGTAGGGCGACGGGCGGGTAGACGCCGCCGTAGGCCGTGCTGTCGGATGTGATTTTGCGGTGAAAGTGGAGGGTCGCCCGGCCGTGGGTGCCAGGGTCTTTGGAGAGGAGGGCGACGCAGGTGTCATCGCACGAGGTTTCGATTGCGAGGGTCAGGAGGGTGCGGCACTGGTGCTGGCGCTGGCGATGGAGCTGGTTCCGTTCTCGAAAGGGTGACGGCCGCACATGCGCTGCCTGGGCTACGACTGCATTACCGTTGATGGTTCGGTGGAGGGGGAGAGACGGTGCGCGCCATCTTTGGAGGATCGTGAGGGCAGGGCGGGGCATTGAGGAAGTCTTTGTGTGAGTAAAAGCGTTGAGAGGTGCCTCGCGAGAGAAAGGTTGCGATGCGACGACGAGAAGTTCGGGAAGCTCTTATCTTATCATGCGTAATCTTATCAGTTGCCTTCACCGAAGGCTCACCGACTTACACGCTTCCCACACTACCTATGCTGCAACGCCTAGTGTATTCCCCAGTCCCCTGGACCATCTTATTTGTTCTAATGAGAGAGCTGGGCCTTTACTTATTATTCAATTACTACGAAATGTTCAAGAGAACTTCAATGAATTTATCTCCTTCTTCTTCTTCCCCCGGTACAGTAGCTGGAATTAGTCAACACCGCCCCTTGCCGTGGAAAACTCGGTACGTATCGCGCACGCAAATTCCATTTTCTCTTAGAGATGGAACTCCACTTGCACATGAGCTTAAGTATTTTTGCGATAAAACATTCTGAAGAGTTCATTGATTATTATACTGGGCAGATTCTAACTGCCATGCATTTTTGAAGTCCTTTTCCTCCCGTTTACCAACCATGCAATTGTAATAATGCTAAAACTGCTGATGTCATCCCTATTTCCAACTCCAAGGTCCTGTTCGAATTCATATACAAGTCGGCCCTTACATCCTTGCCGACGTTCAGCTATCATAAAAGTTTGTGAAGTCTTCCTCATCTTTAGTTACTGCTATCCCTCCTGGCAATGAAATTAACCCACTCGCAGCGGCAGCCGCCGGTACCACCGTCGAAACCGCCAAAGGAAGCATTCTTGTCCTTTCGAGGGTTCACAGTCGTTCCCCCAAAGCCGATATCATTGGGGAGAAGCTTCGGTGTGCTCGTATCGATGCCCTGACGATCATTCACGGGCCAGTGCCATACGAACTTTTCGCCCGACTCCCCGCCGTGGGTGTCCGTCTTAATCGTGACGGGGTAAGGCATGGTGCCGGGGGTAGTGAGGAGCTGCGTGGTGTTCGCCGAGCGGGTCCAGATCTGGACGAGGAAACGCGTCTGAGACCACGTCACGAGGAACTTGGCTTCGCTCCTGCGGGATCCGCCGTCCTTGTCGAGCGGCACATTGCTCTCGCCTTCAGTCCCGTTGAGGGTAGTGGCGGACTTGAGGTAGATGGTGCGCTTGAAGTAGGTGTAGAAACCGTAGTGCTCAGTCGGGAGGCCGCGATCATACAGTCGGACGGGCTGCTGAACGGCGTGGGGAAAGAGCTGTGCGGGGGCTCCAGTGCCGTCCGCCTCGAGTTCGGGGGCTGGTAGGCTGATGCCAAAGTCATCAGTAGAGTTCCCCGAACTCTGACGCTTGCCTAGGGCGCTGGGGCCGACTGTTTCACTGGTAGACTTGAGGATGCTGAGATAGAAAGGAGTCGGTTCGCCAGCTTTCTCACTAGAGACAATGCCGTCTGTTGTGTTTCCGAGGAAGTACATTTCCTGAAAGGAAGGAGGGGCTGGGTTGGGCGTGAAGACTGGGTTCTGTCTTTTGATGAGTACCGCAGCCCTAGCTATGATGCCGCCGAGGTTCAATTGGCGCTTCCCAGAGGTAGATCCGGGCCGAGGGGGTTCACCATTGGGCACATTCCAGAGATTGCGCGTGTTGTTATCCCACTGGATCTGCATGGTGAAAGTCGGCTGGTTGGGACGGTTGGGGGCCACAGATTCCTGTTCTTCCTTGGGAAGTGCACAGCTCCAAACAGTCGAAGGGCTACTGCAGCCAGTGACAGCGGCGGTGTTATCTGGGCCAACAACTGAGAGAACTCCAGTTGGCATCGGAGGAAAGTTTGTGAGGTTGAGAAAGATGCTGTCAACTGGCGCAGAGGCGTGGTTTCGCGGGATGAGGGTAACGCAGAGAACGATGATGAGAATGCTGAGGAAAAGACTGGCTCCGCATATGCCAAGGCAAACGCGTCTCCTCTTTCGGCCTTCACGACCGCTACGACCATAGCATCCGTTCGCCGGGATGCACCCACGGCCTTTCCAGAAGCCTCCAGCTTTGCGAGCTGCAATTTCTTCCTTTTCGTGGCGACGACGCTGTCGTTCAACGCAATGACCGTTCCCTTCTGCTGCAAGGAAGTGTTCCGGCGGCACAAATGTGCCAGCGAATCGTTCTGGAAGGCGACCTTGCTGTCCAGGAGCAGGACTGTTGCCTCTCGGCGCTGGTGTCAAGGGTATGTCGGTCATGTTGATGCCGCCTTGGGAACTCATTGTTCCGTTAATGGCAGGCGAGATCGGTCCCGGAGATGGGGGGTAAAGTGCCTGCAAAGGGTGACCCGCAGGGAAGACAGCTCGGTATCTCACGGCCTTCTGCTGAGGGGGAGGAGAGTATGGGGGCGGCTGCTCTGAGGGAGCTGGGCTGGGTTCGGCAAGCTGTGTTTTCTCTGACCGGGGCTGCAGTCGTGGAGTAGCTGACCGAGAAGACGACGCGGGTGAAGGATCCCGTCTGTCCATGAGTGGTGATGGGGTCCTTCTCGGAGTGGGAACTCTGACTATCGGCGCCTCTATATTGCGTGGTGATGGTCTTGGAGATGCTGGAAGGCCTGGTCGCTGAACAATAACTTGTTGAACTTCTTGTGGCTTGAATACCGTAGGCTCCAAGGCTTTTGTTTCCGAGACCGAGACCCTGGCGCCCTTTTCACTCCACCAGTCGTCATGCGCTGATGATTTGACTGGCTGTGATTCACTCTTCTGAGGTGGGACGATAGGACTCTTCCTCTCCAGAAAGGGGGTCGTGATATGATCCCACCAACCACGAGTCTGTGTTGCCGCGCTGTCTGGGCTCTTTGATGCCTCCTTGGCCTTTGTCGGCTTTTGTCGGTTCGAGGCCGTCCCATCCTCCTCAAATAAGGTGCATGGGCTACCTCCATCATCGTCCTCGTCATCTCTGTTCTTGAGAACAACGCTGACTACTCTTTCCTGTTGTTTGTAGGTAGAGGGCACTGCAGGAACAGGAGGAGCGTCGTGGGCAACACCAACACCAACACCAACACCAAGGCCAGTTGCTTGAGAATAAATGCTGGAAGTGCGGTGTGGTGACTGGAAAGGAGAGGTGGTGTCTGGCGTGTCTGGACTCCACACAGATCTCTGCTGTGAAGGAGTCAATGGAGTGACGGTATCTGGTTTGCACATCGTGATAGGCTTGTTGGTATATCTCGGCGGCAGGTCATGCGGCGTCTCAATGATGGCTGTTTGGGGACTAATTTCTCTGTCGGCCATCTCTGACGGCAACGCGATGCCAATGACAATCGGGCGGTCGTTTGGGGATAGATCCTGCTCCAGGGGGCTGCGGCCAGCGCTTTGAGGAGACTTTGCGTTTGGGTCCGACTTCTTCATCTTCAGCCAATTCCAATTGCCAACGGACGCAGAGTTAGGCGACCCCTCAAGGGCCCTCAGTGCTGCTGCATCGACAAACTTGGGCTGCTGGAGGTCAGGAATCCGGCTCGGTTGAGCCTGTTGCTGCTGTCGCAACGTTGCCATGTCTGTAACCACCTTGATCCCTGCTTTGGCGTTCTGCGCCTTTTGCCGCTGGCGGGACTTAAGACGCCTCAGCTTTTGAACCGAGTACCGTGGCTGTGAATATCTCGTCGAAGCCGGTTTGTTTGGCCTCAAGGGACTGGGAGCGGCCGTCTTGTCCATGATGAGCTCTTGGTCATCGTCCATGATTGGGGTAACCACATCTTCATCCTCCCACTCCTCCCAGTCTTCCCTCTCGTTATGATACCGATGATCGTATGGCTGCCGTTGAGGCACGGTGGCCCCGTTGGAGGACATGTTGATGTAGGAAGTTCCAAGACTTCAGAACACAACTTTGAAGGGACAATGCGTGTAAGTCGAGTTCGAAGTAATAGACTGATTCGATGACGATGAAAAGGTTTCGAGCCTCTCAAGAAAATCCTGAATGAGAAAAAGAATGAACGAACCACCGAAAGGCTCTTCTGGTCGAGGTGGGCGTCAAGCTGGAACAAAGGCGTAGCTTTGAAAGAGATGCTGATGGATATTTTGGGGAAGGAAGCAAAGAGGGAAAGAGCGGCAGGTCCAAAGAAAGTGCTACAATGATTGACAACGAACTCTCCCACATGGAATACTCGGCTGTGAGTCGTGAATAAGGCGCACAATGAACAACAAAAGGGAAACCGGATAGCCACCCACCGAGAGTCGTTTAACTACGTCTGAAAACACGAAACAAGCAGGAGGACAATGGCGCGGCAGGAGCAGGTAGCTTCATTATATGACTAGAGCCGAATCACCACGCGGCGGCTTTGAGTTCATGGGTCACGGCCAGGCCTCGCGATGTTTGGCTGGACGATGAAGTTCGCAGTATGAGGTAGGCGCCCAGTTCGACATCTCGAGCTTCTGATTGGCCGTGGTGCCGCTGGCCAGCTCTCGGGCCTGCACAGGCAACCGCAACGCTGGCCATTCATTTGGCCGCGGTTACATGGGGGGCAGAACGGCTCTGCGGGATGTAGCGGCATGCAGGACATCCATGAACAGAGTGTTGGCTCATCTCGCGTGGCCGAATCACATCATTCAGTGAACCACGATGAGCCAAATGACTGCGTGTGGCTTGAGTGAATGAGTGAGTTTGGGGAAGTTGTGGCACGTATGGGTGGCTTGCGATGAACTTCTCCCTATGGCTGGAGTAAGCTGTGGCTGAGGACGCCCACCTACGCCACTCCGGTCTTATTAATAGACTTCCCGCCCAATAGATTCACCGTTCACCGAGCCCGTACGCCTGCCTTTAAGTGGATGGTCTTCCGCACCTAACCTCGCCGAAGGAGTGGAGACCCGAAACAATTGTATGCCGCTGCCCGGGCCGGATTTAGTCAACTGCAAAGCTGAATTGCTCACTTTCTAGTTGATAACTCAAAGTTGAGAACAAGTCAGTGGCTGGCTGGCTGGCCATGCCGAAACGTTTCAGATAGCCCATTTTTTAGTTGTGTATCCAATGTGAGCCTCGCACCATACGCGCTACATTCCAGTCTTGTCAAAGTGGAATGCTCATACCGGACGTCA